AGAAGAAAATCCCCCCCCCCCCCCCCCCCAAAATTCTACCACACCCCGTCTTGGTACAAAGTCAATTAAAATTTGCAAATCAGCCCAACAATTTCAAATATGAAATATAAAATCTACCCTCCACTTTTCCTCACAGAGTCAGATAGTTTAAAATGGCTTTATATATGCATATGTGACTTACTCTCAATTTTCTATTGCTAACTTCAAACGCACAAATTTCATTTGCTGATACTGACAAGCCTATGCATGCAAAATGTGTTAAACAATGTGAAATGAAGGTCGGTATTTAAGAAAGACCAGAGGAAATAAAATATTTACTAAGAAAGAGCAGTTTATAGAAGAGAATTTTCTAATCATTTCTACACGACTGCATCAATCTTGATGATAACAGATATTCGAAGGGGAAATAAGAGATATTTTGTTTCCACAGAAAATTATTTGATTCTTGTCTTTCAAAGAATTGCCTCACCCACAACTCAAAGAGAGCACTTGCTTTTGAGTGTCTGAAGGCTTATTGGATAAACTTCAAAGAACATATTTGCTTTGAAGACAAATTTTTATCAAAAGCATTACTTTATATTTATGGATCAAAAAGAAGCACTGAAAAGATCATGGGCATCTGACTGGTTCTTAGAATTTGAACTTTTCATCTCCAATCTTTTGAACTAATTACACAAGTACTTCCAATCCATTTATATCTCTTTAGCCATTAGTTTACAAATGTAGGCACTATTTGAGAGTTCTTATTGACATCCAGAGGTTTTATTTCATTTATTCTTCTGATTTCTCAGGTTTTTAATCTATTTAAAGTGCATGAAATTTTACAGTGAGAATCCTGTTCCTCTCTGTGTATTATACTAGCAAGTGAAGGGATAACTAAATTTGAGGATGCTACCATTAACAAAGAATTACATAGAGCTTTAATCACAGGTGTGAACAATCTTCCTCTAGTGATACCATTCCTCCACAAAACAACACAGAGTATGCACTTCAATCAACAAAGAACATACATCAGAGCCAAATATTAAAGACCAGAAGTAAAAAGAAAGTGAGTCTAGTTCACTTACAATTGTCTCGCAGTTTAAAATTATTATTCATGCCTTAAATTGAATAAAATATACCACACCACAAAAATGATCAGTGAATCACATTTCCAAATAAACATTCCTAGCAAATACCTTGTTTAAACCTAACCGACATCAGGTTAAAACTCATATATTATTTTATTGGATAGAAATTGTCAAAGAATTTAAATCCTTTGAGCTCTATGGATAAAAGGAACATTAGCTAATATATTGAAGACTAATGACTTAAAGATTGACTGGAATGATCTTTTAGAAGTTACATGATAAATGAGCAAAAAGAACGCTCTTTTTTTTTTTTTAAAAGAAATAAAGGGATTCGAAAAAGAAATAGTGCTGTGTTCAAATAAAATGTATAAACACAGTGGTATATACTGATGTGGGTACACTTTGATTTACAGTTTTATAATTCATGGAGTGATCAGTCACCAAGTCAATTTGTAACAAAAATTTGCACATTTAGAATTTTCCATTCATGAAATTCCATAAATCATAAGAGCATTCTCTCATCATTGCTACTGTGCATTGCTACTGTGAAGTCACACACATTTTCCCAACAACTACCTTGAGTAAATTTTACAAACAAGAAAGAAAATTCAGCATATGAGACGCAGCCTTCAAGAAAAATCTTAAAATAGAAGGTGGTAATAACCTACTTCGTTTGTGAATTGCTTCCTGCAGATCAGCCACAGTAGCCTAGAAAATAAAACCAAAGCACAATCAGAACCATGCCCATGTTCTTCTTTAAGACATTAATACAAACATCAAACACATATCCAAAATCAAGTTTTGAACTCCAATGAATAAACAAATAGGACTAATCCGCGAGGGGGGGGGAGGGGGGGGGGGGGGGGGGGGGGGGGGGGGGGGGGGGGGGGGGGGGGAGAAAGAAACTCACAGAATCACTGAGCTCAATGCCATCCTTTATCAGTTCTCTGCCGCTACGAGTCGTGACTACGACCTTCATCTTTCTTTCAAGATAGAAGAGAAACCCAATCTTTTTCTGTTCAAGATCTGCTCAGTATTAAATAAATGGAGTTGGATTTGGCTAGGAGATGCGATTTATATGCAGGTGAGGAAGTAAACTGACGCATGAATAAGCAATTAATGGCGTCTGGTTGGGGTAGATGAGCGAACCAATTGCACCGATAAACTACCCGACACCCTACCACCTTGACATAAATTAAATTACATTCATATTCATACTATAATTAATTAATTTGATGTAACATTACTAAGTCCTTTTCTTGAAAATTTATGCTTGATAAAATAATATCATTAAATAATTATATATTTTGACAAAAATATAAAATGACAAAAATACTTGTGTTTATATGAAAACTAAAATATTTTGAAATAAAATTTCATATAACATCATTTTTCAACAAATATTTTAATTAACTCGTAAACTAAAATAAGTCGAAATTTCAGAATTTATGAATAATTTTTTCAGTATTTAAAAAATTAAGATTTAATATTAACGTGTGAAGTTAATTCAAGTCTGTTTGGATAGGCGTAGGCCCCGTCCAAACATCTTTTCCCTAACCAAACAAGCAATAAAGTGATAAGCATAATATTATTTTACAGGGTAATTAACACAACACTTCCCTGCTTCTTTTGACATTTTCACCTTTCAATGCAAAATTATCATTTTCACACAATTTTTCAATAAAAATGTAAAATAACAAATATACAATCCTATCTAAATAAAACCAAAAAAAAAAATTTAAAGAATAAATTGCAATCATATTTCCAAACATTTTAAAAAGTGCAAATAATTCCAAATAAATTATTAAAAGAATAATTAATACAAAACGTCCATATTTTTAATATTATTGTACAAAATGACTCCCTGCTATTTAAATGAAACAATAATAAAGAACAAATCACTGGTTCACTGCTCCCAATTTTTTTTTAAAAAAATTACAAATAAATTTCAAATAAATAATTAAAAATAAAAAAAAAGGTAAAAATAAAAATGAAATGTATATACATTTTATGCTAATTACCCTTTTAATATATTTATTTAGACTCATTTGTATTTTTTCAAAAAGTTGAAAACTGTGGTTGCAATTTGTTCTTTAGTTTTCTTTCCTTTTTTTTTTCTTTTTTTTTTTTTAATGAGGGTCTATTTGTTATTTTACATTTTTTTTATTGAAAAATTAGATGAAGGTGATAATATTTACAATGAAAGGTGAATGTAGGAGGAAAAATAAAATATATGAACGTTTTGTACAATAACATTGAAAGGTTAAGATTTTTTTTACTAATTACTCTATTTTACGAGAGTCATCTAACTTGCTAAAGTATCAAATGTAACAAAACCCAGATTTACTCGGAAATATCAACTGACAGGTAATTAGCACAAAATGTCTCTACCTTGATGTTTTTTGTGGAAAACGTTCCTACCTTTCGTTTTTTGGCGGATTACACCCACATCTTTACCTTTTGTTTTTAGCAAAACGTTCTTTTGTCAACTCTCCGTTAAAATGCTCCGTTAAATCAAAGGGTAATTAACATAAAAGGTCCATACCATTCAATATTATTGTGCAAAACGTCCATATTTTTTTATTTTTTGGCATAATTAACATAAAAGATCCCTACTTGTCAATGCTATTATGCAAAACGTCCATACGCTATTATGCAAAACGTCCATACTTTTTATTTTTTAGCATGTTCACCCCCACCTTCCACTTTTCATTGCACAAAATGTCATTTTCATCCATTTTTTCAATAAAATGAAGATTTCACCCTCCTATTCAAATAAAACAAAAAGAAAAGAAAAATAAATAAATAATTGTAATCATAGTCCTAAATCTTTCAAAATATTACAGATTAATCCTAAATTCTCCACTACTGCCACTTTTACAACCCCACCAAGCTACCATCTACAGATCCATATAGTACCACCTTTCAGCCACAACACCTATCGGACTCCACCACCAACAGCCTCGCCTCTCTCTCCCTAATATCCTCCTCCATAGTATTTGTCACCAATTTGTTCGAAACAACCACATTTACGGTGGTGGAGTCCAGTGGACATGGTGGCCAAAAGGTGGTATTATGTGAATTTATAGTTGGCAGCTTGATAGGTTGTGAAAGTGGTGGTGGTGGTTGAGAATTTATTATTTCTTTGTAATTTTTTAAAAATTTAAGGATTGTGGTTGCAGTGCTAATTCATCTTTTCTTTTTGTTTTATTTGAATATGAAGGTAAAATCATCATTTATCAAAAAAAAAAATGAAAATGACCTTTTGCGCAATGAAAAGTGAAAGATAGGGATGAAAATGCTAAAAAATAAAAGGTGTGAACGTTTTGCACAATAATATTAAAAGATAGAAACATTTTGTGCTAATTTTGCCAAAAAAATAAAATGTATGGACGTTTTACATAATAATATTGAAAGGTATGAATCTTTTGTGCTAATTACCATTTGATTTAATGAAGATTTTAACGTGGAGTTGACAGAAAGACGTTTTGCGCAAAAAAAGGTAAAGGTGAGAGTGTAATCTGCCAAAAAATGAAAGGTAAAAACGTTTTCCACAAAAAATCGAAAGATAGGGACGTTTTGTGTTAATTACCCACCAACTGACTATAACATTAAGCATCGTAATGAACACTTGACATGGAAGCATAAACCTTCAATAACACAATTAAAAAAGGGATTGAACTTCAGGCTACATCGTGCAAAAAATTCAGATCTTCAATAGTCTATAATTTCGTGGCGGGTAATCTACAGAAGCAGCATTACCGATGAGAGAACAGCACAAAACTTGAATAATCTACTCTTCTGTTTTCTTCGTGACGTGTTGTAGTAAAAATTACATAGCGAAGAAAAAGTTATAATGATACATTATTCGTTCCAGCCAAATTTGAGCCATTGATTCTCCCATCCATGATAGAATTCCGAAGGCAGAAAACATTGTTGATTCATAGCTTGCTGCCATCCATATTCAGAATTCATAAAAATAAAAAATAAAACCATATTCCTGAACAAGGCCAACAGTCTCAAAATATCTAACTAAACTGTTCCACACATCTCCCTCCAACTATTTAGATCATCATTTATTCACAAAATAAAATACATTACCTATATTTCACCCAACGCTTATCCTTTGTCCTAACGAAACTTTAGCATCTGTATGGAAGAAAAATAATACTGCATTACCAAAAGAACAGTAGCTAGAATTCACAATGGACTTGAGAAGATTATACAGGAGAGGGTAATTCAAGTAAAATTGGAATTATGTCAAAACAGCACGGCACAGCAAGGAGAGAGTGTCATTTTATTGAGGACTCTGTTCAAAAATACTATTTCTCTCTTATCTCTTTCCGCTGAGCTCCACTCTAGGTTGGTATCCAGCTGGTTCCCCTCACTTACGAAATAGGCCTAAGCCTATGTCAATGGACTCGTGACATCCATGCACTGAGTCTCTTTTTCATCCAATTTAGCAAACTTAGCAAATAGTATGTTTAAAAAAATAAATAAAAAATAAACTGATACACACAAGATATCTCGTAAAAAGTAAGGATTTAATCTAGAAATGGATGCTACATTCAGATCACAATTTGTAGTCCGACCAAATATAATTAGTAGACACTTTCACCATAGGCAGATTAATATGCTAAAAATGTAACATATTTTCCCAGCGCAGGTCATTTTAGAACCAAAAACAGGTATCAGGGCAAAGTCAAAGGCTTTCTTTGATCCTTTCTTATGAATAGTATTCAACAGGGAGAAAGAAGAAACTATATTCAAGGCAAATAAATGAAACAGACTTCTGTGTTTGCCAGGGTAAAAGGCCTTCTTTAGCAATAAAAAGTGAGTTTTACGCTTTTTCAAAAAATCCACCTTCTCCAACCCACTTCATTTGGTAGAAAACCCCCCAACACAACAAAGTAAATAGACAGATAAAATCAGCAACTTGCTATAATTCCTTGGGGGACTTGCCATCTCGCATTGACACCTTTTCACTTTTCCACTTTCTCAAGTGACAAAACCAGCTTTGAGGAGAAATGATCAGCATTTTGTTTAGAGATCCCATCTTCCCCGCTACATTCTCTTGCTTCCCATGTTTGATATTTGTAATTTCTTTTCTTACATTGTCTCCATAATATCCTTTCCCTCTGTCTGATTTGGTACAAACCCCCTTTGGCTGCAAAATAATGGACACCTAATTTCAGTCATCTTGAGCTTTCCCTTGAAGCTTACTTAATCTCAGCTCAACCTTGTGTTCAAATATCCCATCTTCCTTGATACATTATCCTCGTAACTCATTTCTCTTTCTTTCTATCTATAATCTCCTTTCCCTGTACTTTCCATCAGCAAAATAAAGGACACCAAGCTCCAGTCTGCTTTAGCTTTCCCCTCATGCTGATATTATATAACCTCTGTCGTAGTTGCTCGATTGAGCCTTTTGAAATTAAAAACAAAAGGAATCAGCAGGCACAATTGACATTTGAAATTAAAACAAAAAGGCCAGCAGGCAATGAGGATAAGGAAAGGCCACAGCACATGAAGGAGAAAGAAATGGCAGCAACCAAAGGAAAAATGAAGCAGCAAGAAGAATGCAAAAAAGCAGTTACAGAAGCTGGATACGGGGATGAGGCAACAATATGTAAATCCAAAAAAGGAAAAAGGCACAAAAAAAGTGGAAATTTCCATGGAAGAAGCAGGCTATCCAACATATCCAACATCCATAATATGGCCTAACAAGGTACCTAGGTCAACAAGCAGTCTGGACTCCAGAGAAACCAGGACAAGTTTCAATTAACAAGAAGAAAAAAGTACTCCAAACTTCCAATTTGTCTTCCTTTGGCTTCTGATTATGGGGAAGAAAGCAATGTTCCTAGGCATGGCAATGAACCGAGCCAAAACTCGAGGCTCATGCGCTGCCCTGGGAAAAAAAAACCTCCAGCAAGAATTTTTTTTAATTTTAAAAAGTTCATGAAATTCTAAATTACATTGTAATGTAAACCTTGTGCAATTTATACTAATTGCATATTAAAGCGAAGTTAAAATTATATACGAATAAAATATTTCATGTACAATTTTTTTAAAACAAATGAATTTAAAGATTATATAATTAAATCAACAAATAAATTTAAAAACTTACAATGTCCTATTTTTCGATATATAGTAACTCTTTGACCATTATACCATCAACTTTATCTTAAAAACGTAATTTTGCACATTCTCAGTCCTTCAAGCATACTAAAGCATCCAATATGTCTTCTTTTAGTTTTGATCATTCGTCTTACAAATCAAGAAGTATGTCTTCTTCTAATCTTCATTTGACTCGGAAAATAAGTGGATCTGTATTTCATATTCTGGAGTATCGTACTTCTTGATTTGTCAGATGAACAATTAACACTAAAAGAAGACATATTAGATGCTCTAGTATACTCGAAGGACTGAAAGTGTGCAAATTATGTTTTCAAGATAAAGTTGCCAATATAATGGTCGAAAGGTTACTATAAATTCAAAAATAGGATATTGTAAGTTTTTAAATTCATTTGTTAATTTAATTATGTAATCTTTAAATTCATTTGTGTTTTAGAAATTGTACACGAAATATTTTATTCATGTACAATTTTAACTCCGCCAGCACCTACATTGGTTGTATTCGATCCCAAGCCCTAAAAAGGAGATTTGTAACTTTTATTTAATCTACAATTAGTATAAATTGCACATAATTTACATTGTTAATAAAAATTTAGGATTTCACGAATTTTTTTAAAAAAATTAAAAAAACCAGTGAGCCGGCTCAGCTCGATGAAGCCCAAGCCACGTCTTAAAATTTTGGCCTCGGGCAAAAAAAGCTTGAGCTATTTCTTTTTTGAGGCTGAATCAGCGGCGGATCCAGCACCCGGCGAGCCCCCGCGGCCGCCCGTGCTAGATCGCCGGAGCTCAATTTTTTTTGCTGTCCAAGTATTTATTTGTTTAGATATATTTCTGTGATTTCCCTTAATTCACGCCAACTCCTTGTTGTTCAGCTGGTTAGAGCGCCACAGTGGTGAAAGGGCGTCCAGGGTTCGATTCTCAATTGTTGCAATTCCCTTTTGTAATGATTTTAGTATAATATTTTTCACCATTTTGGAGCAAATAGACATTAAAATTGGTGCAAGGGGAAGAATCGAACCTGTGATCTCCATTAGAATAATGGACAATTTGACCACCATGGTAGTTAATGGATGTTGACAATGCAAGCAACAAAAGTCTATATATTCTTTTATCCCAATGATATACACCCTCCTTTTTAGAAAAATAAAATTCAACCATACGGTGAGATTATTAAAATAATCACTTTTTTTCTATTAAACTGAAATTATTAGTGGATCGAACCAAGAAAGTAAATAATTAGACAAATTTTCAAATTTCAAATTGTTACTCAATAAACATTATTACAATGGTAGATAACGTACACTCACACTTATAATTCAAACTACGATATAAGTCCTAGTTTGACCCCCTTTAAAACTTATCAATTTAAATTAAAAAAATTTCTTTCCTATTTTCAATCACACAATTTTCAATAAAATAATATTACACGTAAATCGAAAACTTTTCATTCTTTTACAACTATCAATTTTTAATTTTTTTAAGAAAAACATTATTTCCCCATTATAAATCCAAATAATGGAGGCCAAACGGGGGCTAAGTAATTTCAACTCACGGCATTGGTTATTATTGCGACCGTCGACAATCAACGGCCGCCCGTGCTCAATTAAAATCCTGGATTCGCCACTGGGCTGAATACGTGCCGCGAGCTTCGGCTCAACTCGTTGCCATGCCTAGCTACAATTGCAAACTGCCTGCTTTTTAAGTCATTTATGGGCTGGACCGTGTGGCTCATCAAGCCTCATAGGCCGGCCCATGCTAGGGCAAATTCTCATATTTTGGCCTTGGCCAGGGCCTTAGTTTAGTTTTATCGAGCCTTGAGCCAGGCCAACTCAAGCTTTTCTCGAGTCGAGTCAAGCGGCAGCTCGTCTGAGCTGACATAGCTCGTTGCCTTCCTTATGACTGCTTTGCTCCAAAATAACCAAGATGAAGAAATTCTTCAGTTTCTAGATTTTTGAAATGAAGCGTACATACATTGAGTTAAATAAATCAAGTTTTGCACTGTAAACCAAAAACTTGAACCCTACTCCACAAAGCCATATTAGGTGAAAATCAAACTCAAAACAAAAGGCCTCTCAAATTAAAAAAGAAAGAAAAAAAAAAGTTAATCTAGTCATCCAGCACATCGGAGGATATATTACATTTTTCAAATTACAGGAGTTCCTAAATGAATACATGCAATCCATAAGACCTCCAACTTATCACAAAGATTCTTATAACCAACAAGATATTTCAATCACAAACCTTAGTTTTTGAAAAGTTGAATAAAGGACACATGAATCACACACAAAAGTGGACCATACGTGATTGCACAATCACTAGCAAGTGGCTATGCTTAGTCAGTAAAGAACGGCAAAGCACAATGTATAGATGAAGCTCAGAGTACTTTGTACCTCAGCATCAAGGAAATTATTACTGATGCTCTTCCAAAGCACGATATTGTTAATAATCCTACATTTTATTTTCCTTCTTTAGAGTGTGCCATAAAATTCTACATCTCTTTTTCTCTCAATCTGATTCCCTTTCGGTAGTTGAAGTGTGAGAATGGCATACTGGCCACTGAGAGTTTGTAGGCAGTTTGTTTATTTTAGAAATCAATGAATGCACAAAGACATTTGCACATCCCATTGTACAATGTTGAAACAAATCAACTATAATATGCTATTAAGAACAGCTGCTTCATCACATTTACTGAAACCGAACATTATGGAGAACAACTTTCAGTAAGGGAGGGAGAGATAAAGTAAATATCATTTAACTAAACAACTAATGTATTATAATATATGCTTATTACATGGAACCCACTCAAGTTACCTTACTGGCCGAAAAATATATATTGGACAAGAAATGATCTACAAATAGAGTTGTAAATAGCCTTTAAGTACAGCTGTTTAGACTAGTCCTTGTAATCTGTAATCTGTTACAATATGCTTTCGTTCCTTTCCAAAGAAAAAGGGAGATATTTCTTATCACATGCAATAGCCTTTTACATACAGCAGTTTAGTCTAATCCTACACTGTGTCTGTTTAGACTAGTCCTTGTAATCTGTAATCTGTTACAATATGCTTTTGTTCCTTTCCAAAGAAAATGGGAGATATTTCTTATCACATGCAATAGCCTTTTACATACAGCAGTTTAGTCTAATCCTACACTGTGGTCTCTTCTAGCCCTTGTTTGTCTCCCTTCAAAACTTTCTTTGGAGATATATTTCTTGCCACGTGCAATAGCCTTTTACATACAGCGGTTTAGTCTAATCCTCCTACACTGTTGGTCTCTTCTAGCCCCTGTTTGCCTCCTTTTAAAACAAAAACTCATTAACTCTCATACCTATTTTCAACCACACATTCACACGATAAAATATTTTGCACGAAAACCCAAATCTTTTGCCTACTTTTTAAACCCACATTCTCCAAAAAATACTATTCAAAACATCATTTTTTTCTCGATAATAGCCGTCAAACAGGGGCCTAATATGCTTGCACTAATTTCCAAAAGGAAAATGAGACACTGCTCGTTACATGCAATATACTGAGAGCTAGTTTTCCCATAGTTCCTTCTTCGCAGGCTTTTTTAATTGGTTGGTAAATCAACTTTTAATGAATTGGAAACAATACATTAAGAGAGGAGGCAAAAACCTTTCATAAAAATCACATGATTACATAAGGTTTTCATAGCATGTATATCAAACCACTAAGTGCAGGTGCCACGAGTGACTCCTAATGCCTATGAAAGGCTCTACAAAAGTTCTCGTAGGCATCTGGTGACACATTAAATTAAAATATTAATATAAAAAACCTAAGGTAACGATATAACTGCAAGATGGTAATACTATGGAGCCTGCCTAACTAAAAGGAATAATAAATTTTTAGTTGGAGCTTTCGTCTCCTCAACTTTTTGGAGCCTATTTACTGCTTGCAGAATATGTCTTGGCACTACATTCATTGGTCTCAGACCGAAAGCTGTTCCAGCCTCCTGACTTCTTAGAATCAATCATTCATAGAAGAATTATTGGTCCCAGCTGTATATTTATCCATCACATTCCTCAGACCAAAAGTTGTTCCTGCCTCCTGACTTCTTAGAATCAATCATTCATAGAAGAATTATCGGTCCTGGGTGTATATGTATCCAGCACTTCAGGAAGAAGAGAGAAAATTATTCAACCAAAGGCAAGCCCTTGTTTGATCCCAATTATTTCCAAAATACATTTTTCTCACTGTTCTTTTCAACCACACATTTTTTTAATAAAATAATATTATACGCAATCCCAAAACTTTTCCTTATTTTTTTTAACCATATATTTGTTAACCAAAATGCAATATTAGCCAAAAATGGGGCTCAAATAGGCGTTATATCTCATCAGTCAAGAATACAAGCTCTGGGCTAAATAGAAGGATCTATAAGCCAAAATTTAATAAGAGTGCATGTCAAGGCAGGGTCCATCAGATAACTCAAATAGATATTGGATAGTAATGATAATTTTTCAGAAAAGTTAACCATAATCTCTCAATTTTATAAGAAGATAATAGCCACTAATCATACTAATGCAGTACAACCAGAATCAGCAGAAGCCACTGATCAGGAATTAAATAAACATGAATAACTGAGCAAGTCAAATGTAATCTACCAGATAATATGATATAACATACATTAATCAACTGCGACTGTAGGTAAAAGTTCATCAAACCATTAATAGGAAAAAAATAAGAGAAGAAGAAAAAAAATTTACCCAAAAGATTTTAGTACAGTCATAATACAAACCAAAGCTGTCACTTGCAGTGTGAGCAACAGAGGAACACGTAATTTGTTTATTCTACTGGGGGCCTGATACTAACCAGATAGCAGAAGATAAAGCATTCCATGATTTCATCTTGTCACTGGGCTAGCTTACATATATCTTCATACTCAACAGCCTTGAGAACCCTCCCATCATATATTCCCTTCTCAATCTGCACCTTGGCGCAAAAATTGTCAGTATCGACTGCTAGCAACCTTGCATTTGACCCGCGATATGCCCCATTAACTATCTTCACAAGGCCTCCAATTTGCGGAATCACTGTCTCAAGCTCCTCCTGATCAACCCTCAGTACATGCTTACTCTCAAGCATCTCAATCTCGCCAACATACTTATCAATTACCTTCCGTATAACACCCTTTTGCTTGTAGTACCCCTTTTCCGCTAAGGCCTTACTCATAACTTTCACAATAATCCCCTCCCACAACCAATAATCCTTCCTGTTACTCCTCTCTTTCGCTTTCTCTTGTTCTCTCATCATTTCATCCAATACTGATGCTCCACCCCCATTCTTCCCAGATATTTGGTCTTCCCTCCTTCGTTTTCCATTCTTATTATCATTCTCCCCTTCATCAAACACCAATCTGAAACTCTCCCCCTTCTCCTTTACAACAACGTTTTTTGTAGACCCTAAGCTTAGCTTAATTTTCTTATCACCGTCTCCCTCAAATTTTTCCAACATTCTTGTCTTAGTTTCTACTTGGTCCAACCCATTCTCATTCGGATTTGTTGATGTCATCATCAGCTGCTCGGCACGCTCAATTTGCCTCTGAATCTCCCGCTCTTTCTTCTCCTCATCCGCCATGTCTGTCTTAATCCTCTTATTCTTCATCTTCTCCTTAAAAAGTGTTTCCGAATCCCGGTCTATATAAGTAATAAACCACCCTTTGGGTGTTTCATCGACTTTACACTTGCCAGTCCTACCCAAATACTTGACAAACTCGGTAAGCGTAGCCCACTGTGTAGAATTCATATGAACATGATGGCGGTCAGCAATATATTCATTATACACTACAGTGGCGGCTATGCGGCTGAATCGGTGGCTCCGCTTCATATGTTCAAGAAAGGAGGTTTCGAACTCCTCGGAATATCCATCGACGATTCGGGTGGGGTTTTGGCCGAAGACTTCCATCTGGCGCTGGTGGGATTCGCTCATACAGTGGCACTTGAACCCGTTCTCGTCCCGGCATTGCTTCTGGCACATCTGGCAATACCATCGCAGCTTCTGTAAACCCTTGGCTTTGATTCTGTTGGCAATTGCTTTTGGGGTCAGGAACTCATTTTTCCCCATCGTGGATTTGAGAAGCGAACCAGAAATCGAAAGCTGAATTCAACTGATTTATCGGGCGATTTAGGGCAACAAGGGGAATCGGACTAATTGGAGGAGTCAGATCTCACGTACAGGATGAATTTCTAATTCGAAATAAGGATGGGCCGGGCCCGGGCGGCTTTCTTAGAAATTCATATAAAAATATTTTGGAAGTTAAAAATACGGGGGTAATTACATAAATACCCACAAAAATGGGAGCCATTTAGAAAAATTATAATAAAAGTAATTTTGAAGTAAAAAATACGGTAATTTTTTTGTTTGGTGTTCAAGACCAATCAATATGGAGGGTATTTGGTAGATATTTTTATGTGAAAATGCATTTTTAAATAGTAAGTTGATGGGAAATGTGTGGTTGAAAAATAAGGAAAAGTTTTTTATTTACGTGTAATATTATTTTAATAAAGAATGTGTGGTTGAAATTAAGAGAGAGAAAAATACATTTTCAAAAATAATGGATACCAAACAGGCTCAAAATTCTGACAACTTTGGCCCAACAAACTATTCCAAAATTTTTAAATACAGGTTTAGATGCGTTGATATTTTGATTTTTACAAGTAAAATCATAATTATTTTGACAGTAAATTAAATAAATAGCTTATTTATAACTTTTGTTGTTGCAAGATTTCTTATTTACTACTATAACTTTACAGTTAAAAAGTTTCAAACAGTCAAATAACTGATAGAAATTAAAAAGAAAAAAAAAGAAGGTGACATTCAAAAAAAAAAAAATTGACAAAAACTGAAAAAAGTGGTTAAAATAAAATAAAATAAAAAGTGACGAGAATTCCAAGAAGTTACGTACTCTAAAATAGCGATACAAATTCAAAACAAGTGACAAATACTAAAAAAAAGTAACAAAAAATGAAAAAATAAAATAAAATTGACAAATGCTAAAGTAACATACATTCAAAAAATTGACCAAATTCAATAAAAAAATGACCGAAAAAATGGTAAACAATTAAAAAATGACATATATATAAAAAAAATAAAAAGACACGCTCAAAAAGGTTACAAAAAATAAAAGGTGACAATCACTAAAAAGGTGATAGAAAGTTTTAAAAAAAAATGTGATTGAGAAATTAAAAAAGTAACAAACTTTCAAAAAACTTACAGAAATTCAAAAAAGTGACACAATTCACAAAAAACAAAAAAAAAATATATGTGACAAACCCTTGAAAAAATGACATATCGTGTAGCTTAAAAAAAATACTTTTTGACTTATTTAAAGACTATGTTTCTTCACTCTTCAGGTGAGGTTTTTATTATCTTATCAAAGTATTTACGACAAACTTTGAAATGCATCTTCCGAATTTAAAATTAGCAAATGATTAGTTCATAATTACAAATCGAAAATGGCCACAAGAAATGAACTTAATAATTATGGTTTAAACTTCATAAATATCTACGCTGATATCGATTAGGAAAAAAATAAAAAGAAATAATTAATTAATATAGTTTTATGTTTAATAATTTATGGAAGATAATTTTTTATTTTAAATATCGTCTGTAACATATTTATCATGATCGCATTGTAAGCTTCTAAAATCTCTCAATATGAATAATTGTAATGTAAAATACAGCATCAAACAAAAATATTTCAATAATAAAAATTTTAAGAAGTGAATAAAATTAGATCGGAGGAAAGGGTTTGTTCGCCTGTGTTTCCAGATGAGTTAGAGGAAAGCATAATTAATACTATAGTTAGAGATATAATTAAGTTTAAGCGTATTATTCTAATTATTTCTTTTTTCAAAGTAATGGACCTAATTATCCCTAACAGTACTGTGTAAAATTAAGGCCCTATCTGAGCCACAATATTTGGGAAAAAAATATATATTATTTAATAGTGATTTGATATCATTTCAATCACATATTTTTCAATAAAATAATATTACAAGCAAATTCAAAATTTTTCTTTATTTTTTAACCACACATTTCCCATTAATACACTATTCAAAAATGTATTTTCATTCCAATAATATGACTCAAACAAGGGCTAAATATCACACACAATATCACTTCTTAAAGTTAAGTATGTTTGTCAGTTGTCACTCCAAAAAGCTATAAAAAATCTCAAGCAAGTGACAAAAAAAAAATGAAAATCAAGGGAAAAAATGACAAAAATTCAAAAAAGTGACAAATATTAAAAAACGTGACAATAATTGAACAAAGCGATGGAAATTTGATTGGAAAAAAAAAAGGATGTTCAAAAAGTGACATAAATTTAAAAAATGACAAAAAATAAAAAGTGTCAAATACTCAAAAAAAGTGATAAACTTTAAAAAAAATGACACAAATTCAAAGAAATGACAGAAAAAAGTGACAAAAATTCAAAAAAGTGACAGAAGTTGTATGATGGTGATTTTCTTGTTGAGTAATTAGTATCTATTTTACTCTGTTAATACTTTTGGTAGAAATTTTCTATTAAATGACAAATATTCAAAAAAAAATGACTTGAATTCAAAAAAGTAACAAATTACATTTGTGTCAATAATTCTAAACTACCATACTANAGATAAAATACTAATAAATTAGCCAAAATGAACTCAAACAAGCTACCATAAATGGAGTTGAGATGCAAATTTTCCTTTATTAATCCGAATTCATTGTACACTTTATATTACCTTTGTATGCTCAAACAAAAGGCACACCTCAAATTCATGGATTCTACAACTCAAACACAACTCTCTTTTTCTCTGACTTCCACCTATATTCATTCTTCAATTCCGATGGTAGCCCCACACGTTTCACTTTACAAAATTCCTTTGCCTCAATTTTCACCATTCATTCACAACTCTTCTTCTCCCCCAGTCCCCAATTGTCTCTCCAATTTCCTGCCAAAATTCAATCATAATTGCTAGAAAGCAAAAATAGGCGCTTGTCTCTCTTTGAAATTAACCGGCCAAAAATAAATAAATAAATAAATAAAATATATCGTGTGTGCAAGAGCTTACAGCATGAAAAGGAAGCAAATAATAGCTAAGCAAGAGATGAAGATTATTGCACAAGAGGAAACGAATCGGTCGAATCTCCGATTGGTCACATATATAAAAATTTTAGACGACGAGTAGATGTTCTCTCTCTTGGAACCCATATTATTTCTGTAAGTTGAGGAGGGTTTGTCTTCTAAAATTGAATTGTGTTATGTGTTGAGGCTTTTAGGACGTATTAATTACGTTGTTAGATGATAATTTGTTTCCAAATATAACACTTGGGCTAAGGGTCAAGTCGATAATTTTTCTTAAATCTCCCCCTCCCGTATCATATAAGCCTCCAAAACAAAGGTCCTTGGAAAGCGTTATCACTATACAAATTGAAACAGCGGCTAGCACGCTAAGCTAAGATCTGAGAACACAACACGGAGTCTTTCTTTCTCGGTCGGCTGGCAAACTAGAGACGAATGACCACGATCCCGACCTTACCAGCACTAGAGGAGTCAAGTTAATAGGGTAGTGAGCCTAATTTACCTTTTCTAATTACATCCGATAATTATACAAAATTTATTAATAAATTTTTTTTGATATTATTCTAGAAAACTAGGAATATTGTATTAGTTTTACAAGTTATCGTTTGATTCAAATTTAGGAAATGCTGAGAAGTGGACATTTGATTAGAATATAAGATATTCTTCTTTACATTGGTCATTAAGAAATTGATTTTTTTCAGCCACTACAAATGCAGGAAAAAAATAACCCCAACGAAGCAGATGAAGAACCTTCCTAGACTACTTGACATAGATCATAACATAGATGGAAAGTTCAGTTCGTTACACTACACACGACTCGACAAAATTGAGCAAACTTCACCCAGAACATGCGTACCAAACCTCCAAAGTAGTCTTCAGTAGGACTGTCGTCTTTTTATGTAACCAATAAAGAGTTTCAACACGAGAAATATCCAACACCAAAAGAAGAAGAAGAAGAAATAGCATAAATAGACAGAAGGCTTGCTTCGTGGACAGGCTAAAAGGAAGATGATGAATTAACAACCATCTCTTATGCAGTTCTCAGAAAAGGATGATGGCCCATCTTTATTCCATTTGAATGTCCTAACGCGACCAGAATCGGGTATGACATTCTGGAGATGATGACCTCAATGCTTGGCTTATTAAGCTATCTCATTACACCATCCTAGGAGGGAGAGAAATAGCACAACTTTTTATCAGCAGGAGGCCGATGTTACCACACTGTTGCTAATATCATTGAAACGGTACAGGAACAAGCAGGAGAATAGTGTGAAACAGAAATACTAAGCAAAATTGGCAACTTATGGTTGCTTCAGTCTGCGACCAAAACTTGGTGTCATGCTTTAACAGTCATGTAATTATACTGATGCAAGGGAATGCCCATTCTGATTTTTTAATAATAAAATCATTTCCTTTTGCTCGGAAACAAAGGATTCTAGCATCACAAGTAATGCAAAATGAAATATAAAACGCATTACACTTTTAGTTTCATCGTGCTCATATATCAAATATGAATTTTGAAATTCATATCTTCTCTACTTCTTCCGGCTCAGCCCCATGGGTGCTTCCAGGAGGCAGTGTCTGCAAAAAATCACATTACAAACATAAGCAGACAAGTGAAGGGCAGCTTTCATCAAGTCAGTCATAGATTTAGGAAAAGCTAGGGGTCCTTCAGTGCTTCCTACAAGAGGCAGTTACTAGAGCGCAATAACGCCCCTTGTTCAAAGGTTTAAACGAAAAACAGAAGACAGAGGAATACTAATATCTCAGAAAGAAAATATAACGAAAAGAAACATCTATTTACATGTATTTAGTGGGATTTGACACACTGATGGACAAGAATTTAGTTTCTTTTTCTTTCTTAATAGTTGATAATGTCTGGTCGAGTTGAACCCACCTGACCAAACAAGTCCTAGTTTTATCAAAGGTCATAGGCGATTGGGAAAGCCCCAGTACAAGGACAAACTAACTACACAGAAATTGAATCACTTACAGCAAAGCTAACTGTTTTCAAGTATAGAAATGTAGGGCACCTTTGAAAACCAGTAGAAATTATCGGAATTTTTTTTATGCAAATGTAAGTACATTAAACGGAGGCAGGAAAATTTACCAAATCAGGCTTGTATATATTATGCACAACAGAAGCGCCAGTGAGAAGCGACACAACAACAACGACACACGACCATGCCAACGATGGAGTTCCCGTGGGTTGCTTCCCTCCAAATTTCTTATTCATCTCTCTCTATCTTTCTGCGTCTCCCTAGCCAGCCCTTTGTATTCACCTTCTTTCCCCTTTAGCTTCAGGAAAGTAAATACTATTAATTATGACAATTTATAATATTTATACAAATACATGTTCACATGTAACTGTGTATATTATTAATTGTCTTTATACATGTCAGCAAATCCAGAGCAGAGAGAATTAAACTGCAATTGAAATGAGAAATCTGAGCAATGTGTTTACTAAGCCCATGTTTGATAGTTATTAAAATCAGATTTTTAATAGATTTTGATAAAAGTTTATGAAATGTATGAGTGAAAATTTGTGAGTCCCATAAAATGTGTGGTTAAAATTAATTGTTGACTTTAATTTAAAATCTAAATTAAAATTTGTATCAAAGAGGGGCTAAGTTGAGCGGTAATAGACTCACAACCTACAGGTTGTCAGTTAGGGTTAAGTCATGTATATGCATGTATTAATTTTTGGAGACAACAAGCCAAGAAACCCAAGTGATGAACAGTGAACAGTTAAAAAATAAGTTGCAAGGGATAAACAAAGCAATGAAAGAGCCCAAATAATTACTGTTACCTTACTTCATTAGCAAGTATTAGTAGTGAATAATTCATGTATTCTCAATCATCATATATCATATAGGAGTGTGTCTTGATCATACTATTTAGCTGGAAGACCACAATGTTGTCGATAATTACAAGCTAATATAAGTCGAAACATATCCTTATAAATCCGAATATCGCTTACTGTATTATTGTCAATTTCCCAAAACAAACCATCACGGATAAAGCTATTATATAAACATCACAAATGGGGAGAATCTAACAGGCACTCTGCAACTAACTAATTAATAAACTTTTTATTTGAACAAAGTTATTATCAGTCTTGGCTAGAAAAAGTTGAAGGAGAACCAATCCTATGTCGTCTATCACAAGTAACCGCTATTAAGTATTAACTGAACTCATGGGCTAGAGAAAATTGAAGTAGAAGATTGGTAACTGAACAAAGTAACTTGCTTGGAAGCTTGATAGAAATTCAGCAACCGCTATTTAGTATTAACTGAACTCATGGGCTAGAGAAAATTGAAGTAAAAGATTGGTAGCTGAACAAAGTGACTTACTTGGAAGCTTGATAGAAATTCAGCCGCAAGTGTAAGATAAGAACCAGATATTACAATTCTGTATTGATTGAATTCTCCAGTACAAATAAAATTAATAAGCAGCCTTTCACGAGGACTGTATCTCTCCTCAGTCTCACTACACCCGAGAGATTGGTTGCCTGTCTTTTCCCATTCGTGACTTCTTTATATTCTGTTCTGTAACTACTTTTCTCTTCCTATCCTACCCCTCCAACAGAATTTTGTTGCAGCCCCTTCCCTTCTCCAGTCTTCTTGAGTCTTCTAGAATAAGTATATAGAGGAGGCCTATCAATTACCCCCCCCCCCTCCCCCCCAAAATAAATAAATAAATAAAAATAAAAAACTCAGCAACCTTGTCCTCAAAGTGGAAGGAAGGAAATTGTTGATTAATGAGATGGAATGATTCCCAGGTAGCTTCCATAGGAGATAACCCTTTCCACTTAATTAGCACTTCCAAATTTTCTGTTATTCCCCGTGTCTCATTCCTCTTCCCCAACATAGCTTAGGGTTCCACTAGCAACTCCCAGTCAGCTCCCAAATTCAGAGGCAACCATGTGGTAAAGTGATGTTCCCTCACCGCCTTACGCAATTGGGATACATGGAACACCGAATGGATACGTGTCTCGGGGTAAGCAACCTTCCCAACTTTTGCTAATACCTTGTAGGGTCCATAGTATCGGGGGTAAGTTTCTCACTGGTACGACCAAAGACTTGTGGCGATATGGACGCATCTTCAACTAGATCATGTCCCCTGCTGAGAACTCTACTTCCCTTCTATGCTTGTCAACTGCATGCTTCATCTGTTGTTGGGCTCGGTACAAATGGATCTTGAGAACGCAGCAGGAGAGGAGGATCACGCCCATATAACATACAAAAAGGGGTAAGTTGTGCCAATACGTGGAAGGAATTGTTGTATGAGAGTTCAGCCCTCGATTAACCACATACAAAAAGGTAGGAATTGGGCCCATTCTTTTGGTCGAGCTGAAGCAAAGCAGCGCAGGTAGGTTTCAAGCCCTCGATTAACCACCTCCGTTTGGCCATCGGTTTGTGGATGATAAGCTGAACTATGCCTTAACTTCGTTCGCTGGAGTCGAGACGGGTCAATCCAAAATTTGCTTAGGAACACCTTATCCCTATCTGAGATTATTGATTGGGGCATCCCGTGCAATCGAACCGCCTCTCTTACAAAAATGGCTGCTATAAAAGGTGCCGTGAAAGGATGTTTGAGGCCTATAAAATGAGTATACTTGCTTAAGCAATCAACAACCACCAAAATCAAATCAAACCCTTCCGACTTAGGCAACCCTTCCATGAAATCCATGGAAATATCCTTCCCTACCCTCTCTGGTACGGGAAGAAGCTGCAGGTGCAAGAGTAAAGTATTTATGCTATTGACAAGTTGCGCAGGCTGCCACATATGCAAGAATATCTCTCTTCATGCCCACCCAATCGAATGTCTCCACTATTCTCCTGTAAGTCTTAAGGAACCCTCCATGACCAACCCCCCCCCCCTCCCCAATCCCCCCCCCCCCCCAAAAATTTTACTGTCATGCCCTTCCTCTAGCGCCATCAATACCCATGGGAAATCCTTGGGTAGAGTAATCCGATCCTTATATAATAAAGCCCCACGAACTATTATATAACCTGGATAAGCTGATGAGTCTGTCCTTAAGGTTGCCATAATTCTGCCCAGAACCCAATCTTCCTATTCTGCCTTTATCACTTCTTCTATCTGAACGGTATTTGGTATGCTAAGGGCCATTAAAGTTGCTGTCACTCCTTTTTGGGATAATGCATCTGCTGCCTTATTCTCCGATCCCGATTTGTACTCAATATCAAAGTCGAAGCCCAATAATTTTGTCAACCATTTATGATATTCAACATTCAGCAACCTTTGGTCGAGCAAGAACTTAGGGTGTGTTTGATTCACCCAATTTCATGGGAATGGGTGGAAAATTCGTGTTTGATTCACAAGATTTTCCATGGAATTGGTTTCTAGCTTTTATTGGAAGTTGTGCTATTCCTTAATTTGGTGGAATTCCAATTCTCACCATATATGGTGGGAATTGGAACCCGACTACTGTAGCGATTTTTTTTTTTTTTTTTTTTTTTTGCAATGGAAACCAATTCTAAGAATTATTGTAAAAAAATATCTCTTTCATTGATAATTTGAATGTAAAACAAAGCCAAACGAACACTAAAAAATAGATGACTTTCTTGAATTTTTTTTTTTTTTTGGCGATAGAAACCAATGTCATCCCCAATACCAGTAAATTCTATCATTTTAATTGATAATTTTCATGTAAAACAAAGTCAAACGAACATCAAAAAATACTTTTATTTCAACATTTTCCACGTGAAAAATTATACCAATCAAACACAATAATTCACAATTCCCAAGAAAACAATTCTAGGCAATTCAATTCTCTGAAATTCGTTTTCTACCAAATTCAATTCCATCTTTACAATCAAACGGACCCTTAAGGTTCTTTTGATCTACCCGCACCACGAAAAGCCTTCCAAGCAAATAATGTCTCCATTTTTGCACTGCCAACACAATAGCTATTAACTCTCTTTCATAAATTGATTTATTTTGGGTCGTTGGTGGGAGAACCTGACTAAAGTAACCTATAGGCCTCTGATTTTGCATTAAAACAGCCCCCAACCCATATCCCGAAGCATTGGTTTCAATCACAAAGGGTTGTAAAAAATCTGGAACAGCTAGCACTGACACCATCATCATCGCATCCTTCAATTTTGTGAATGCAACCTCGGCTGCGTCATTCCATCCAAAACTATCCTTTTTTAATAGTTGAGTCAATGGCCATGCAATTTTCCCATAGCCCTCCACAAAGCGACGATAATACCATGTCAATCCTAGGAAGCCCTTCCACTCCTTAAGTGATTTTGGTCATGGCCAATCTCTCATTGCAGAGAACTTTGATTCGTCCGCTGCCACTCCTTTTTTCTGAAATGATGTGCCCAAGGTACTCTTACCTCTATCTGTCCAAACAAGCATTTCTTTTTGTTTGCATAAAGCTGAATTTCCACCAAAATCTGCATTACAATTCTCAAGTGATCTCGGTGTTCAACCTCCTTACAGCTATAAATCAAGATGTCGTCAAAGAAGACTAACATAAATTTTCGAAGTTGTTCTCTGAAGATAGTATTCATCAGTGATTGGAAAGTGGCTGGTGCATTTGTTAAACAAAATGGCATGACGAAAAATTTTAGCCCCCTTTAAAACTCTTCAATTTAATTTAATTTTTTTCTCTCTCATACTTTAAACCACACAATTTTTAATAAAATAATATTACACTCAAATCGAAAACTTTTCAACCACGTAACCTTCAAAAAAATACTATTGTCCCATTATAAATTCAAATAATGGGGGCCAAACAAGGGCTTAGTGTCCTTCGTGGGTTCGAAAAGCAATTTTTGGAACATCCTCAGCCTTCACCCGAACATGATGGTACCCGGATCTGAGATCGATTTTCAAAAAAACATTAGCTCCATTCAATTTATACAATAATTCATCAATAACAAGAATCGAAAATTTGTCAGGAACGGTGACCTTGTTTAGGGCCTGATAATTCACGCAAAACCGCTAACTCCCATCTTTCTTCCTTACAAGTGGCACAAGACTTTAAAATGGACTAGTATTATGTTGGATAATTCCTGCAGCCAACATCTCCTGTACTAACCGTTCAATTTCATTCTTCTGGAAATGTGGGTATCGGCATGGCCTCACGCTAACGAGGTTAGTCCCTGGTTTTAGAATGATCGCATGATCATGACTTCTCCGTGTGGGCAACTGGTTGGGGTCCTAAAAGACTACTGAAAATTCCTCCAAAAGCTCTGCAAAAACTGTTGGTGGTCAAGGTAGAGAGCCATTGGGATCGACCATAATATTTCCCAATTCCAATAACAATCCTTCCCCTTGCTCCTTAAAGGATTTCCACATTGTTTTCAATGAGATAGGAGTTTTACTGAAACTCGAGTCCCTTTGCAATGTTACTATAGTCCTTGAGTTGTTCAAGGACATCGTCAAGGTGTTCCAATCAACCTACATTTTGCCCCGCCTTCGTAAACACTGCATTGTCAAAATAACATCAGAGCAGCCCAACTCGAGGGATAAGAAATCTTCCACTACCAGCAAGCCTGGTAACTTCAACGTTATGCCTTTGCATATGTCTTCCTCTTTTACAGTCAACCCAGTTCCCATGATTACTCCATAGCTCGTAGTGAAGGATAAGGGAAATCCCAGAACTAATTCTACAAAGATAAAATTATGTGAAGCTCCACTATCGATCAACACTACCACCTCTTTCTGGTCAAACATCCCCTTTAGTTCCATAGTACTTGGGGCAGTAAGTCCTACTACAGAGTTGATGGATAGTTTCACAGGCTAACCCATCCCTTTGACTTCATTCTCGCCAGTACATAACTCGTCGATAGCCTCGCCCTCATTGGATCCCAGCTTGCCACACTGTGTCGTCTCTCCCAGCGCATCGCCGGCCTCCATCTCGCGAATAACCCTAACCTGCAGCTCCTTATTCCTACATTTCTGACCAATAGTCAACTTGTCATCACATCTATAGCATAGCCTTTTCTCTTTTTTAGCTTGAATGTCAACGCCTATAAGCCTCTTGAATGTTAAAGGATTTTTGGGAAGTTAATTAGGGCGTGGAATGAGAGACAATGGCACGGTGTGTCTCTTTTGGGTAATAGTAGGTTGGGGCGGATTTGGGCTTTGATAAGGGATGCTCTTGGGTTTATTAGGGCTGTTGTTCATGGGCTTTGCTAGGATATTAAATTCCAGTCCTCCACCATTTAGGCTACTTCCATTATCTGTTCCAGGCCCAATGACCTAAGTAGATGGACTTCAACCCTAATATTTGGCCTTGGTCCGTTGAGAAAATTACATTCCATTATCTCTTATGATACCTCCGTCAACGATGAAGCCAGGGTCTCCAATCGCTGACGATACTCTCTAACGGCGATACTCTGCCGGAGAGATAGGAATTGTGCACAAACGGATCCCTCCTATGATAGTCCGAATCTTCGTAATAGCCTGATATTCACCTCTTCCCAATTCTTCACCGGTTGGCATTTTTCTCCCATTTCTTATCTTCCTCCGTCAGCTTATTAATGTGGAAATATCTCTCCACACGAAAAACCCACCCATCTGGATTGGATTCTTCAAGTACAGGCATTTCCAAGCTTCCTTATGCATGGCTCAATTCTCCAATCGCCGCCTGACCCTCCCCCATCATTGTGACTACTACCTGCCCTTGTTTGTGTTAAACCGTAGTCAATTGGTGTTACCGATGAACTCTCCATAACTGGCCCCTTTTCCTTACATTCTTTTTCTTGACTTTCCAATGTGCGCAACAACATATCAAACTTTTCCATCATCCCAGAGTGCATCATTTCAAATTCTGAAAGTAGCACGTGGAGCGCCGTTTGCAATTCATGGTGATTGCTATCCACCCTTTGTTCCAACTCTCCAACTCGATCAACAAGATTCATGGTTGTATCTTGCCGAATTTGGATGCTTTGATACCAGATTGATAGAAATTTAGCCGTAAGTGTAAGATGAGAACCAGAAATTATAATTCTGTATTGATTGAATTCTCCATTACAAATGAACTCCTCAGTCTTGCTTCACTCAACAGATTGGTTGCATGTCTTTGTTCCATTAGTGTCTTATTTATATTTTGTTCTGTAACTACTTTTCTCTTCCTATTCTACCCCTCCAACAGAATTTTGTTACAGCCCCTTTCCTTCTCCATTCTTCTTGAGTCTTCTAGAATAAGTATACAGAATCGGAGGCCCATCAAAGCTCTGTTTTGTTTCCATCTCCAATTTTGAAAAACATGCAAATTTTGGGGATGCAAAACGAATTGATACATTTATCCAATACAATCTCTTAACTTTCAAAATAATGCTCAGCAGCACTTCTCCCTCCCTTCAACAACCATGACACCATCGCCTCAACCTACCAGATCCGACACCCAACGGCAACAATTCCAATAAGAAGCATTGGCAACATCATATATGTAGAAAGCATATACAAATATAATCAAAAGCAAGAGCATTTTTTTCCTGGTTACCTTTTGGGTAAAATATTCGATTAATGAAGAGAAAACAACCTAGGTAACCACACCACAAATTACAACTTGCAAATAGCCCACTGCACCACTAGCTATAATGATCATCCATGCTAGGTTTTGAAGAAGATAGTTCTAATCAAATTTTGTAAAATTCCATTTTGACCCACAAACCTAACATGTTATAAATAAAATCCAATAAGAAAACAACACAACTTTAAAGCAAATTACAATTTGTCATGCAAACTATAGTACAATATGCATGTCATGTATTTAGCATTAATGGCATCAAAATTCACGTGTAATTCTCATCTCACACAAATCAATATCATAATCAGCCTAAGCATATCCTTTTCCTTTTCAGTCGTATATTTTCTCAAACACTAATCAGTTAGCAATGGCCAAGGACAATGCAGTCACAATTTATGGCTAAACTCTAGCAGAGACGAGAAGGAAAACATCCAATATTTCCCACGTTACAATAGCACAGTGCTTCATAAAATTGAGACAAGAATTCCAACTCCCGTTCAGAATATATTAATCCAAATATTCCATGAAAAATAAGGAAGAAAAGAAAATGCAACAAACATGCCATTCTAAGGCATCTCCAATCTTGCACCAAAATTTGAGGTAAGTTTTGCACCATTTTACACCAAATCTTGTGCCAAATTAAAAATATTTCCAACTCATTACACCATAAGTTGCACCAAATGAACAATGTCATTTTCTTTATTTTTTATTCTTACCAATTTATATATCTGGAAAATTATTTATTTATTTAATTTACTACTACATAAATAATTATGTTTCGTTAACGAAAATATTAAATTCATTAATAAATTTAAAAAATATAGTGCAATTAATAAAAATATTGCAACTAAGAAAATATTAAATCATAATACTATTGATTACATGATTAAAGTTTATTACAAATAATAATAATAATAATAATAATAATAATAATAATAATAATAATAATATTGGTATTAAAAAAATAATTAATTAATTAAAAATTAAAATTTGTGTATAATATAAAATGACACAAATACCCTTAAGAACATTTGGTGCTAAATAAAAAAAGGGCAAAAATGACTTTAATCAAATATGGTGCAAAATTTAGTGTTTGTGGGGCGTGGCATGGCATGGCCCCAAATATTTGATGCAAAATAGGGGAAAATAGTGTTTTGGTACAAGGTGGGAGTTGCCATAATCCAACGACAGAACAAAGCATAAAGTTTATCACGTCGTTCCTTCAAAATGAGATATTCTAATGAAAACAAACATTCAAATTTGGCTAATCTAATTATTTCAACATTCAGGAATTCAGGGCAAAATATTAGAACCCAATTCAGAAATGAACACAGGGAGATGGAGGCAGAAGTGAAAAAATAACTAACCGTAGAGTTTAATTTTCAAAGACAGTATAAAAATTAGAACCCAATTCAAAGATTGTAAGTAACTATCAAATTGAGGATCAAGTTTTGCTATTTTTCAAAGAAATACAAAGATTGCATAATAGGGTTGCATTTGCTTACCTACAGGCAAATTGTTCAGTAGGCCCCTTGTGTGGAATTGGTATTTCTGCTATCGCTTCGGTGGGCAGGTGGGTGGAAGCGGAAGTGCGTTGTTGTGGCGAAGGATAGGGGCGCGCCGATCGTTTATTTCCGTCTTTGCCTAGACATTATTCATAGAGGGTGTTTCGGCCCCATTTTTACGAAAAAATGTAGAATAGTAGAATGATGAGTAATGTGTTCTTAAAAATGAAAGAAATATTTTTTATTTACGTGTAATATTATTTTAATAAAAAAATATGGTTGAAAAGAAAAGAGAAAAAAATGTATTTTGAAAAATATGGGAGTCAAACAAAGCCTTAGCCCTTGTTTGAGCCTCATTTTTTTGAAAAAATGTATTTTTCAACATTATTTTGATATCATTTTAATCACACATTTTTCAATAAAATAATATTATACGTATATTAAAAATCTTTTTTATTTTTTAATTACACATTTCTCATCAATATACTATTCAAAAATTCATTTTTCCCCCAAAAAAGGGCTTAATATTATTTTGAAGGTGCTTACACGTACAACAAGCTTGATCGCGATTTTTTTTATTGGACACGAAACCCCCTCTCTTGTGAGACGGCTCAGTGTACAAACATCAAATTCCTTTTTTAAAAAATCAAAATTAGAGGTGCTAGTTGGGTTTAGGACTTGACAAGGTTAAATATTCAAATGAATATTAGAATCTAGAATCAGTGATTTGGTTCGTCTTTCGATTCTGGATAAAAAATTGAAACCCCCCTAAACTTTATTTTTTTCTATATTGAATAAGCCAAACTATTTTTATTATTTTTTGAATAATTTTTCGATTAACTGAGTAATAAACTATGAGTGCCCAAGGCTCCAAATTCCAAAGGCCAACTCCAACTTGAGCCGAAATATTTTTCCCTACGAATTGTTGTCCGTGCCCAATTTCAATTCACAATTCACAATTCACAATTCACAATTCACCTTCACTCATTATGTCATTTAGGTTTAGTTGTTGACCTCATTTTCAACCGTTCCTCTCTCACTAGTCACAATTTCATCTTTGGTACTCAAGATCCACATAGACCACACCATCAAATCCTATATTCGTAAGCATTTCTACATCATTCTTCATTTTGGTAATTTGTATACATAGGTATATAAATCTTATTAGACAATTTGTTATTTGTATATATGTAAATTAAACTGTGTCATTTTATAAGAGTTAATATTGTACATATCATTAATTGAATTAATGTAGTGTTTTATAAATGTTAAAAAAATTATTATAGCACGGAATCGAACTAAATCGGATCAGTACTAAATTAAATTTGGATCGATGGTTCCACTTATTAAATACTCAGAAAATATAATTCAGTTCGATTTCTTTAAAATCGAATCGAATCGGACTATATTCAAACCTAATTGGATCAGAACAATGGGGGAGGGAACGGGTTGGATAGATTCAAAATGCCACCACGAACGTGGGAAAAGTCCTTGAATGCCATTAGACCAATTTTGTTTGGGCAAAAAGTGCCATTTAGGTTAGAGCAAATCAAACTTTTAAATTAAAAAAAAATAGAATAATAAGATCAATTAAATATATGTAGAATTGTAGCTGTAGTACCAAATCATTCATCATTTTATATATTTTACCCAAAATTTTCATTTGTACCATCCACAATCTCAGATTTTCATTTTTTGTAGTACAAAGACAAATGAACGGATTTCATCAATTCCTCCATTATTTGACCAAAATTTTTTGGACTCTTTTGATCAATTTTGTCTAATTTTAAAAGGAAAAATCAGTAACTATAATTATAATTATCACATAGATATTTAAAATAAAAACAAAAATACTGAAAAAAACCCAAGAAAAAAAAGAGAGTGATGAGAGAGAGAGAGAGAGAAGAAATAAAAGAAAAAAATTATCTTCTTCCCCCACCCAAACCAACCAAAAAGAAACACCCACCACCCGTCGACCACTACCAAAGGCGTCTCCAACGGTCGGCTACGATTGTATCTCCTTGAAGGTAGTTTGGGTAAAAATTTCAAAGAAATTGAAATTGAAAGAATCGAACCTATGAATGAATACCTCGTTCTTCTACTCATGGACGGTGGAACATAGCTAGAAAAAATTTATGGGCTCACACATAGTAGTAATTCATAGAAAGTGGTCTTTTTTCACCGGAATTCTAACTTTTGAAGTGTTTAATTATCATTTTTCCATAAAAAAATATTTTTCAACATCTGAAAATATGCTTAATTTTCTTTATTTTGGAGTAAAACATTTTCTTTGAGGAGGTAGGATTTTGTTTTCCTCAAAATAAGGAAAATATTTTCATTTTTAGGAAATATTTTTCATGTCAATCAAACGCACTCTTATTTCTTTTCTCCTTTTTTGGGGTTTTCATTTTTTTTTAATTATTCTATGTGATAGTTATATAGTGTCAGACTTTTCCTTTTAAATTTAGTCAAAATTTGCCAAAATAGTCAAAAATAAAATAAAATAAAATGATCAACTAATGGAAAAATGGACCATTTGTCCTTGTGCTTCAACAAAATTAAAGATTTAAGAATGTCGATAGCACAAACAAATAAAATATTTATGTAAACTCTGCAAAAAGATGAAAGATTTGGACCTCCAGTTGCAATTCTCCCTTAAATAAATAGATGTTAGATCCACTTAATCGGTGTTATCATTTAAGAGACGTCACATGGTATGATTTGCAATTGATATCGCATTACTCTAAAAAAATTTAAAAATTTTCTTTTACCTACCTGACAAGCCATATGGCCGTCGCTAAGTGAAATGCCAAGCAAGCATCGATGCTTTGTCATCATCGCCTCCTCTATGAGTTTCATCAAACTTCAACGGTTTCAGAGCAAGTAGCCTCTTCTATTCTTTTGTTCGAGACGACATGGCCATCACCTCATTGTATTCAACCCACACCAGCTTAATCACATTGTCACTACGAGTTGTTTAGGAGTGACCCAACCATGTGGTCACACGAATTTGGTCTCTTAGTTTGAGGCCGATGAGGTTCAACTCTCAATACCTTGAACAGATTGTCATCTCATACAACTTGAGTAATGAATAAAATGATTAATGTGACAACTATGTAGACGCAGCATGCAATCATATTTTTATTGATATAATTAGAATAGGTGTGTAAGGTCACAGGTGATAGCTAGTGTGTGATATCATTAAACTTGATATGTGAGTTGTTGGAATAAAGCCACATGTCAAGCGTTCAAATGACCTAGTCCACAACCGTTTGGTTTATAAATACCCAGTCTTTGTGCCATTAAAATGAAATATGAAATCTAAACTTGGCGTGTATATTCTCGTCTTTAGCATTTCTTCCTAACCCAAATATTGTGTGTCATTTGATTTGAGCATCCAAGTGCACATAATCGTTGCATTCCCTATTCAGAGCCATGATCCGTGCCTTCTAACCCGACTGTCCATATGTAGAGATAATGTATACGTAGATAAGGGATGAGCTAACATTTGTTGATGTCTAGATTCCACAAAATTCAGAGGATAACAAGATTGAACAAAATTAGAAAAAGAAATACACACACACATATAAGTATGTTTTGCATGCAGTATTGGACCAAATGAAAATAAATTTAATCATATCTGATATCTTTTGCATGGAAATCAAAATAATTTAGTCAAAATCTACTATCATATGTTGATAAGATAAAGTCCCTATTTGACATTTATTAATTGGGAACAAAGTTTTGAATAATGTATTTTTAAGAATGTGTTTTAAGAAAAATAATGTGAAAATAATGATTATCAAACAGGGGCAAAAATAGTTCAAAGCATGGGCACGCTTAAGAGTGGGTTAGTTGCAAAATAAAAGCAAGAAACGAAAATACAAATAAAAATCTAATCAAAACCAAGAACGCAAAAATTTACTTTTCAAAATAAAAATATCTTATAACTCAACGTTAAAAATAAGTAGATGTTATGAAAAGAGAGAAAAATAGAAGAGGTACTATGAGTCAATAGACTCGTGTGTATTATTAAAAATCAATACCATATATTTATAAGATTCAAAATAAGAGTTATAATTGGAATGAAATAGATCTTCTAGACTGGATAAGACTTCTCTGTGTATCATGATAATACTAAATAATCATTAATAATTATCTCATTATTTTACAATACTCCCCTTTGATGATTATTATTACAATAATTATATTATTGAAACATTGTTTAGCAAAAAATTCAATGAGACAAAAACGCCAATGAATGAAAAAGAGTACAAATAATTTGGAGTAATGAAATACTGCCTAGTTAAAATCTTGTCAAGAAATTCCAAAGGAACAAAACTGGATCAAAGGAAAAAGAGCATACCTACTTCCCTGATTTCACAAGTAAAGATTCTTGTATTGCTATTCATGTATCATACATCAATGCCTTCAATATTACAATTTTTGGTGAAGTATGCCTCATGTTGTCTTGAATATTCTTCAAATAACACCGTCTTCATAAGAAGATGTTTTATCATCCTTTAATAACAGCAGTAATATGATGATTCGAAAAATAACTCTTATTGATCTCTTCGAGAATCTCATACATAATGAGTATTCCTTTTTAAGGTAAATGCCTTGTAAATTAAGGATATCATTAAACAAAGAATATGCTTCATTAAAATCCTAATAGGAAAAAATTCCGTGGGAAAAATCCTTATGAAGGAAAAAGAGTACATTATTCTTTTGAATACGCTACAAAAATTGTCTCATTAAAAACCTTGCCAAGAAAATCTAATAAGATAAAACCTTGGTGGAAAAAAAAAAGTACAAGCGTATAAAAAAAAGTACAAGCGTATTTACTCCATCTCACGATAATATTACTTAAATTATGCTTCAAACATATTAAATCCTTCAATGATAATATTAAATTTATGTTAAGTTGACTATAATCAAATTTATTATATGCATATCAAATTTCATACATTATCATTCTAACAAAGTAGAGACTTATGATTTTATCCACCACACACGATAACTTATCTATTTATACAAGTTTTTGTGACATTTATTACGTAAAAAATTGTACATTTCATATTATGACTTCACTTTTCTCATTTTCATTCACATAAGTACACTCCTTTAGATGTTCAAACTGTAGATCTAGAAACTTCACGTTTCTCTAGTAAATTCAATTCTACTAGGTT